TGATCGCAGACTCGATGAAGGCTTTCAGCACCACACCCCCATAGGCTTTATTATCAGCCAACAGACTATAAGTTTGTCGTGAATTTCTTGAAGCTGCTGACTGGTAATAGGGGTATCAGCATCAGTATCTGTGGGAATCCGGTATGGGCTATAATAAAGAGAATCGTACTCTTCATCATCACCGCCCAAGGTAGCACCGGAGTTGGAGGATGGAGAAGGGGATGGTGGGATGTTAATGACGGGGGTTTCAACCATAGTAGTAGCCCCTGTATCAGATACATTGACTGTTACTGGTGGTTGGGAAGAGGTGATAGTGACTGAGTCGGTGATGATTGGAGTGGGGATAGAAGATGTAGGTTTAGTAATAGAGAAAGGGAATGGTTGGTTCTGTTGTATGTGGGAGGATGTTATAGGAACAAAAAGTGGGACCTTCTGTTTTGGTGATTGGGGTGGGGTAGGAATTTTAGGAGAAGGTGGAGGAGTGGGTGATTTGGTAATTTTGGGAGATGCTGGTGGAGAGGGAAGATGAGTGCCTGCAGGAGAAGATGGTTGTTGAGGAGACTGAGCAATAGTTGTCTCTGTTGGAGAAGCATGAGGAGCAGCAGCCTCTGTGTCGGATTGGTCATTAGGAGCAGAGCCAGGAGAAGGGGATCCTTTGGCCCTTTTAGCCATCTTCTTAACCTTCTTTGATTTGGACTGAGAAGGTTCCTCTGCATCATTTTTTTCGTTTGGAGGATCTTAGCTTTCTCTCCTTTTTCGGTTCAATTTCTTTCTTCTCCTGTTTCTCCTTTTTACTAGCCCTCTTGCCACGGTTGGCAGGTTGATCAAGGGCTTCCAAGGCAGCTTTCTGTTCTTCGGATAGAACCCTTGGAGGAAAGGGTGTTCTGGTGCTATAGTCAGCCATGATTTTGCTGTGAGGCGTGACACACCTGTACATGGATTCAGGGATTAATCCATAATGGAGAAACTTACTTGGATCAGAAACTATGATATTCTTAGTGTGGTAAGAGGCTATTGAAGCCAGAAGAGCATCCTTCATCACAAGGATTTCAAGGGAATCCATGGCCTTCTTCGTGATGAGCGTCCAGAAACGGCCGCAAGAGATCTCAGAGTACCGGGTGGAGGTGTTTAGACTCTGAACGACTTGAGACCAGATTATGGAGCCATAATCTAGGTTGATGCCGTTGTAAAGACCATAAAGAATGGTGAGAAATCCTTTACTTGTGGTATCAGAACCACCACAGCGCTCCGCTAAACCCTTGATCAAAAGGGTAAGCAATCCATTCCACTGAGAAGGAAGACAAGATTTCTTGACCTTCGCGATTGTCGTAAGAACATCCGTATAACCCATCTCGTACATCATCGAGAAAAGTTGAGTAGTGGTGACAAAATCCGGTGAGATGACGGAAGAATCAACTGCAAGCCCTAGAAGAGAGCAAAACTTGGTTTTGGAAACAGAGGTTTTCTTGTCATGGATGGTGAAGTAGATGCGATCTTTATGTTTGTCATAACTTGCTGTTGTGTAGACTTGAGAAAGCAGGGACATCGGAACGGCTTCCACCTGCGTGAGTGCCAACAGCAATGGGGAATATTTTAGGCATTCCACCACATGGAGCATGTACGCATCATATAAGAAAGGGGTCATCTCTATAATCATATTCTGATTAGGCTTGATAAGGAGCAAAGATGAAGATGCAGTTTGATCTTGTGCAGAAGAAGTCGCCATTGTTGAATTGAAGAAGAAGATGAACAGTGGAAACTTTTCAGAGAGAGAGATTACGTGGGAGGTAAATGCCAAAGAACACGATCACCCCTTATTTATACCGTTCACTGGAGAGAGAAAATCGTGATGATGAGGGAACCAAAACGTCGCCAGAAAAAGCACGATTGGATGTTATGGTTTATCCCAGGAATACGTCAGCACATGTGGGTGTGAAACGAATCAATTGCACGCGCCCAAAGCACATTTTTGTACCGTTTGAAATTCCTTGTGCCCTTGTTTGGTTACAACTGAAACTTAAAACCATATACCAAACAGCAATCAGAATGTTGGAAAGAATTAATTTGCATAAGAGTGTGAAAGATAAAGAAATAAATCAAAGGTGTTTGAGATGTGAGTGTTGTCTATTAAGAAGACAGAAAGCGGAAGATTTCGGGCAAGAATCACTTCCTTCAAAGCCAAGAGAGACTTGAAGTGCTTGTGTGGTTTCCTTGGAAATACGATCAATTGTCTATTAACAAACAATGAAAGGCATCTTTTGATCATAGGTTGTGGGGTAGCTGTCCTCTAACCGAACATCAAGTCTTAACATAAAACTGAGTGTTGGCAGATATACCTGTGAGACCGATGTGATCTATTGAATAGGTAGGTGGGAATTATCGGTGACAAGCATGGGATAAACAGAAATCTCAAAGAAAAATAAACTGGACCTCTTTTGGAAGAAATGTCTTAGGTGGAGACGATTTCGTAAAAGATCACACAAAAAGAAAATAAGATTTCCAAGTAACATCTTGAGTATATCACTCACCGTCAATTCATTTTAGGTATTGGATTTTGGGTTTCACTTAGAATGTGGTAATCGAATCCAAGATCATAAACACAGAGGTTGTGTAACCATAAGCTTCAGTGGTAAAGACCGAAAGCATCAAGGGTTTACTTTTAGGGAATCGAAGGTAAATGTAGAATTTGAGGAGGTGGTTAAGAGACCGAACGTACCTCTGCTACAGAAGTGGGACAAAAAGAGCAACTCATGTTTCAAATGAGTAGAGTAAGGTAGCTCTAGACCGAGTGTTAGAGAATAGCCTGATTGGAAGAAACGATAGGTATTGATCGAATCATTAAGGTGTACTCAAGGTCATAGAGGCTTGCGACAACATACAGCAGCATGCTTCTAGGGACATCTAACTAGTCTGAGAGAAAGATAAAACTTACCTGGGTGAACACTACAGAAGGTGATACTTGTATTTCCTGTGCAAAGCGTACACCAACCAGGACGTGCGAGAAGAGGAAATAAGTAAGAAAACGGAATAAAAAGAAGGATAAAATGTTTTTGTGATTTTGAAATTTTTTTCTGAAAAATAAATAAAACAGAAAGATTAAATGTTTTGTGATTTTGAAGTTTTTCTGAAAGAGAAATAAAAAAAAAAATGTTTTTGTGATTTTGAAATTTTTTCTGAAAAATAAATAAAAACAGAAAGATTAAATGTTTTTGTGATTTTGAAGTTTTTCTGAAAGAGAAATAAAAAAAAATGTTTTTATGATTTTGAAATTTTTCTGAAAAAGAAATAAAAACAAAAAGATAAAATTGTACAACATAAAAAAAATTAAGCAGAGATAGACCGAGCGATCTGTGTATTTCGGTGACAATTTCAGAACAGAGAGGAACCGAGCGGTCTGTCTATTTCGGTTCCATTAAATCACCAGAGCAGAGATAGACCGAGCGGTCTGTCTATTCGGTTCATTAAATCACCAGAGCAGAGATAGACCGAGCGGTCTGTCTACTTCGGTTCCATTAAATCTCCAGAGCAGAGAGAGACCGAGCGGTCTGTCTATTTCGGTTCTTGATTCTTAGTAGGAGATTTGAGGATTTGGGACCGACTCTCCTACCATCATACCCAAGCCTTGTAGAATTTTGTTGAAAGTCATTTCAGGAAGAGCTTTGGTAAAGACATCGGCCAATTGATCAGTGGTTCGACAAAGTGTAATTCAACATTTCCGTCTTCCACGTGATCTTTGATGAAGTGATACCTCAGTGCGATGTGCTTGGTCTTGGAGTGTTGCACTGGGTTATGACAAATCCTAATTGCACTTTCAGAGTCACAATATAGTGGGATCTTTTTCATATTGAGTCCATAGTCTCGGAGTTGACTCTGGATCCAAATCACTTGAGAGGTACAGGAGGCAGCGGTAATGTATTCTGCTTCAGTAGTAGACAGAGACACGCATGTTTGTTTCTTTGATTGCCAGCTAACCAACTTCCCATCGAGGAATTGGCAACCGCCAGTGGTGCTTTTCCTGTCGAGACCACAACCACCAAGGTCTGCATCTGAGTAGGCTTGAACGAAGAAGCTGAGTTAGAAGGGTACCACAGACCTAAAGAGGTAGTTCTCTTGAGATAACGAAATATGTTTTTCACTGCAAGCAGGTGAGGTTCCCGTGGATTTGCCTGAAACCGAGCACAGTAACAAACAGAAAACATTATGTCAGGCCTGCTAGCAGTAAGATACATTAGAGAGCCTATCATTTGACGATAAAGTGTAAGATCAACAGTCGGTTTATCCAGAGATGGAGTGAGCTTAGTCCCGAACGCCATTGGGACTTTGACCTTTGAATCTCCCATCATGCTGAATTTTGCTAAGAGATTTTTTGTGTAAGCTTCCTGGTTGATAAAGATGCCTTCAGGTCCCTGTCTGATATTTAAACCAAGAAAAAAGTTAATGGGACCCATCGAGCTCATTTCAAATTTAGTCTCCATCAGCTTTCTGAATTCAGCTGTTAGGCTTGGATTCGTGGAGCCAAATATGATATCATCGACGTAAATTTGAACGATCATAAGGTGGTTACCTTCCTTTTTGCGAAAGAAGGTTGGGTCAACCGAACCTT